CCTAAACCCTAAACCCTAAACCCTAGACCCTAAAAGACCCTAGACCCTAAAAGACCCTAGACCCTAGACCCTAGACCCTAGACCCTAGACCCTAGACCCTAGACCCTAGACCCTAGACCCTAGACCCTAGACCCTAGACCCTAGACCCTAGACCCTAGACCCTAGACCCTAGACCCTAGACCCTAGACCCTAGACCCTAGACCCTAGACCCTAGACCCTAGACCCTAGACCTAGACCCTAGACCCTAGACCCTAGACCCTAGACCCTAGACCATAAAACCCAGAACCTAGACCCTAGACCCTAGACCCTAGACCCTAGACCCTAGACCCTAGACCCTAGACCCTAGACCCTAGACCCTAGACCCTAGACCCTAGACCCTAGACCCTAGACCCTAGACCCTAGACCCTAGACCCTAGACCCTAGACCCTAGACCCTAGACCCTAGACCCTAGACCCTAGACCCTAGACCCTAGACCCTAGACCCTAGACCCTAGACCCTAGACCCTAGACCCTAGACCCTAGACCCTAGACCCTAGACCCTAGACCCTAGACCCTAGACCCTAGACCCTAGACCCTAGACCCTAGACCCTAGACCCTAGACCCTAGACCCTAGACCCTAGACCCTAGACCCTAGACCCTAGACCCTAGACCCTAGACCCTAGACCCTAGACCCTAGACCCTAGACCCTAGACCCTAGACCCTAGACCCTAGACCCTAGACCCTAGACCCTAGACCCTAGACCCTAGACCCTAGACCCTAGACCCTAGACCCTAGACCCTAGACCCTAGACCCTAGACCCTAGACCCTAGACCCTAGACCCTAGACCCTAGACCCTAGACCCTAGACCCTAGACCCTAGACCCTAGACCCTAGACCCTAGACCCTAGACCCTAGACCCTAGACCCTAGACCCTAGACCCTAGACCCTAGACCCTAGACCCTAGACCCTAGACCCTAGACCCTAGACCCTAGACCCTAGACCCTAGACCCTAGACCCTAGACCCTAGACCCTAGACCCTAGACCCTAGACCCTAGACCCTAGACCCTAGACCCTAGACCCTAGACCCTAGACCCTAGACCCTAGACCCTAGACCCTAGACCCTAGACCCTAGACCCTAGACCCTAGACCCTAGACCCTAGACCCTAGACCCTAGACCCTAGACCCTAGACCCTAGACCCTAGACCCTAGACCCTAGACCCTAGACCCTAGACCCTAGACCCTAGACCCTAGACCCTAGACCCTAGACCCTAGACCCTAGACCCTAGACCCTAGACCCTAGACCCTAGACCCTAGACCCTAGACCCTAGACCCTAGACCCTAGACCCTAGACCCTAGACCCTAGACCCTAGACCCTAGACCCTAGACCCTAGACCCTAGACCCTAGACCCTAGACCCTAGACCCTAGACCCTAGACCCTAGACCCTAGACCCTAGACCCTAGACCCTAGACCCTAGACCCTAGACCCTAGACCCTAGACCCTAGACCCTAGACCCTAGACCCTAGACCCTAGACCCTAGACCCTAGACCCTAGACCCTAGACCCTAGACCCTAGACCCTAGACCCTAGACCCTAGACCCTAGACCCTAGACCCTAGACCCTAGACCCTAGACCCTAGACCCTAGACCCTAGACCCTAGACCCTAGACCCTAGACCCTAGACCCTAGACCCTAGACCCTAGACCCTAGACCCTAGACCCTAGACCCTAGACCCTAGACCCTAGACCCTAGACCCTAGACCCTAGACCCTAGACCCTAGACCCTAGACCCTAGACCCTAGACCCTAGACCCTAGACCCTAGACCCTAGACCCTAGACCCTAGACCCTAGACCCTAGACCCTAGACCCTAGACCCTAGACCCTAGACCCTAGACCCTAGACCCTAGACCCTAGACCCTAGACCCTAGACCCTAGACCCTAGACCCTAGACCCTAGACCCTAGACCCTAGACCCTAGACCCTAGACCCTAGACCCTAGACCCTAGACCCTAGACCCTAGACCCTAGACCCTAGACCCTAGACCCTAGACCCTAGACCCTAGACCCTAGACCCTAGACCCTAGACCCTAGACCCTAGACCCTAGACCCTAGACCCTAGACCCTAGACCCTAGACCCTAGACCCTAGACCCTAGACCCTAGACCCTAGACCCTAGACCCTAGACCCTAGACCCTAGACCCTAGACCCTAGACCCTAGACCCTAGACCCTAGACCCTAGACCCTAGACCCTAGACCCTAGACCCTAGACCCTAGACCCTAGACCCTAGACCCTAGACCCTAGACCCTAGACCCTAGACCCTAGACCCTAGACCCTAGACCCTAGACCCTAGACCCTAGACCCTAGACCCTAGACCCTAGACCCTAGACCCTAGACCCTAGACCCTAGACCCTAGACCCTAGACCCTAGACCCTAGACCCTAGACCCTAGACCCTAGACCCTAGACCCTAGACCCTAGACCCTAGACCCTAGACCCTAGACCCTAGACCCTAGACCCTAGACCCTAGACCCTAGACCCTAGACCCTAGACCCTAGACCCTAGACCCTAGACCCTAGACCCTAGACCCTAGACCCTAGACCCTAGACCCTAGACCCTAGACCCTAGACCCTAGACCCTAGACCCTAGACCCTAGACCCTAGACCCTAGACCCTAGACCCTAGACCCTAGACCCTAGACCCTAGACCCTAGACCCTAGACCCTAGACCCTAGACCCTAGACCCTAGACCCTAGACCCTAGACCCTAGACCCTAGACCCTAGACCCTAGACCCTAGACCCTAGACCCTAGACCCTAGACCCTAGACCCTAGACCCTAGACCCTAGACCCTAGACCCTAGACCCTAGACCCTAGACCCTAGACCCTAGACCCTAGACCCTAGACCCTAGACCCTAGACCCTAGACCCTAGACCCTAGACCCTAGACCCTAGACCCTAGACCCTAGACCCTAGACCCTAGACCCTAGACCCTAGACCCTAGACCCTAGACCCTAGACCCTAGACCCTAGACCCTAGACCCTAGACCCTAGACCCTAGACCCTAGACCCTAGACCCTAGACCCTAGACCCTAGACCCTAGACCCTAGACCCTAGACCCTAGACCCTAGACCCTAGACCCTAGACCCTAGACCCTAGACCCTAGACCCTAGACCCTAGACCCTAGACCCTAGACCCTAGACCCTAGACCCTAGACCCTAGACCCTAGACCCTAGACCCTAGACCCTAGACCCTAGACCCTAGACCCTAGACCCTAGACCCTAGACCCTAGACCCTAGACCCTAGACCCTAGACCCTAGACCCTAGACCCTAGACCCTAGACCCTAGACCCTAGACCCTAGACCCTAGACCCTAGACCCTAGACCCTAGACCCTAGACCCTAGACCCTAGACCCTAGACCCTAGACCCTAGACCCTAGACCCTAGACCCTAGACCCTAGACCCTAGACCCTAGACCCTAGACCCTAGACCCTAGACCCTAGACCCTAGACCCTAGACCCTAGACCCTAGACCCTAGACCCTAGACCCTAGACCCTAGACCCTAGACCCTAGACCCTAGACCCTAGACCCTAGACCCTAGACCCTAGACCCTAGACCCTAGACCCTAGACCCTAGACCCTAGACCCTAGACCCTAGACCCTAGACCCTAGACCCTAGACCCTAGACCCTAGACCCTAGACCCTAGACCCTAGACCCTAGACCCTAGACCCTAGACCCTAGACCCTAGAAGATCAATATGTGGAATTTCAAGTTGAGTAAAGAAGAGTTTTGAATTTCTAATGGTGAGGGTACCTTTTCTAGTTTTCTAAGACTAGTCTATTGGAAAATCTTATGGCTAGACCTAGGTTACTAAATAAATTTCTAGACCTCAACAAAAAATGAGGTCAATAGTCCTTCTTGGCTAAAATCGACATTCCGGACGCATTGGCGCAGTCCGTTTCATCATTCGGGGTCGTTTGGGCCACTTTTTCGATAATCGCGCCAAAAATGATAATTTGTACACTTTCACCCCACCCGTGAAACCGTAGCGAAGTAGATCCCCCGTAAGTGAAATCGACGTTCCAGACACAATGACCAAAAATGATAATTTGTACACTTTCACCCCACCCGCGAAACCGTTGCGAAGTAGACATCCCCGTAAGTGAAATCGACGTTCCAGACACAATGACGGGGTCCATTTCATCATTCGGGGTCATTTAGACAACTTTGCCGACGATCGAGTCAATTTGAGTCAATTTCGCACGTGACACGAGACAAAATATTCGTTGTCCCGATCAGAGCGGTCAATCGTGCTAAATGTCGACCGGTCTTCGCCTAGGCGAAAGCCAAAGTCTAGCAAAATGGTCATGACTATGTGTCCCTCAACACGTGTCAAAAAGGTCTCAAGCGCGTGTCTGAACTATCAGATGTTATGGACGGACCGTAGACTATCCCGAGTCAAGCAGGTGGACACCCTACACTCGTGACAAGCAGGTGGACACCCTAAACCCTAAACCCTAAACAAATGTTATTCCTGAGTTATTTTTAGATTATTTCTGAATTATTTTGAACAAATAATCAAAAAATAAAGACTGCGAGTTATTTTTAAATTATTAAAAATAATTAAAAAATAGTGACAGTTTAGGATTTAAGATTTAGGGTTTAAGGCTCTCGGTACAGAAAATTAGCTCCAACATCAAGAATCACCTCGATTAACATTTCTATTTTCCATTGGGCAGTGGCGTGGCTGCTGCGAACCTGTGATCCCGAGGGAGCTACGTTAATGGCGGCATCGTCACGCCGAAGCTTTTACCTTACCATAAGGGATATAAGAAATTCACCGATTGGCTCAAAGGTGAACCTAATTGCGAAGGCCATAGAGATCGGTGTCCCCAGGAAGTCCGGAGGGAGCGGTCTGCTTCTCACTTGAGTTTAATATAACAAATTTTACGCGTTGATGCTTGCACGCTTCTAGATATTAACAGATTCTTATGGCTTAAGGCGGAGAATAGAATGTTTGCGGTTCCTGGCCTGCTTTCCATTTTTCTCTCTTATTATTATTATTTTTATCACATTTGCTACTTGCCTCTTATCTTAACACTACTGCGGAAGATTTTGCTTAGCAAGAAAGGTGCTATCTTTCTTCGATGATGCTTGTTTTTGTAGGTTGAATCTGTCGTGCCTTTAATGTCTTATTTATGCATATTTTTTGTGATTTTATTTGTACAATTAGGACTGAAAGCCCATGGAATTGAATGAGATTTTTATCTCAGAAGAGATATGTTGCAAACATAAAACTTCAAACCCAGCCATTTAATTTCCATTGCAAATGAGAGGAATGCCAGAATCACTTGGCAGTTGCTGTGCAGTTTAGAGTGAAGAGATTCTAATTTGAATTAGAAATTGTTATTTTGACCCACAATTATTGAACCAAGGTAAAATGACACTTTTGTAATGTGGTACCGCTCACCTACAACATCTCACCTATCGCTCACCTACCGACCACCTACCTCTCACCTATCACTCTCTTGCTTCTATAAATAGAGAGGGTGTGAGGCTTAGGAGAGCGAGAGAAGAGATCTTAAGCTACCACAAAGGAGGAGAGAATAACTAGAGAGCTAGAGAGGAGGAGAGCATCTTTAGGCCTTGTATCAAGGTGTCGCTTGAGAGGGAGGCCATAGAGGGAAGATAAGGGCTCATCTCTATGTATAAGCTATATATTCTCAATTTCTTTTGCCTTAGTGAACTATTTGATTGATTCCCTCCCGTGGACATAGATCCAGTTTGATCGAATGATCGAACCACGTAAACGATCCGTGTTTGCTTGTGTTCTTTGCGTCTCATTTATATGCCAGGAAGTACATATCTCATAACAAAAATTAAAATCATATTTGTGAATTGTGGTGGAGCTTTAGAAGGTCAGACAGTCTATGGGCTTTGTTTCTTATCAGAGAATCTAAAAATGCTCTAAAAGATTTTTGAAGAAGTATAAAAAAAAAATATCGTAGAGGCTGTTATAGGAGACCGATAATCTTTTGAGGTTGTTGGGGTTCTTTATTGACATTAAAAGAAGACGCACAAAGAAAATTATATCATATAGAAATGAAATTTAGGGAGGGGGAAAAAAATAATGAAGATAAATTATTTTCATAAATATTTAGAAATAAAATAAGGTCCAATTGGCCGTCTGAATTGCAGCAAGTCGAATGAAAACATCTAACTTTCGAATGAAAACATCTAACTTTCTTTTAACATGGGTGTTATGCCTCAATATTTGGTCTTCAATGGATTGGAAGTTTGACATTTATTTTCTTCCCGCTAAGCATCAAGCAATGCAATAGCTAAAATTTAAACTGCTACCTGCTGATGTTTTACTTTTCCATACTTGGGTTGGAAGTTTGACATTTATTTTCTTGTTTTCACTATATTTCTACATTATACTACGTTATATCAGGTATAGAATATTGAAAAACTGGTTTTTTTCATTTGAATCTATTTGAGATCATGTCTGAACAGAAGTAACATTTTTTACTTATATGAGTTTGTTTATAAACCTTCACGCACACATGCGCGATCACACGCGCGCACACACACGCACGGAGAGAGAGAGAGATTATGAACATGCTTCTAAAATGCACACATAGAGACATATGCATACATATATACCGAGAGAGAGAGAGAGAGAGAGAGAGAGAGGGGCGGGAGGGAGGGATCATACACATGCTTCTGAAATTTATCATATTTACAAAATTTATACACATATAAAAGAATAGCAAGACCACTTTCAAACCATCATGATTTAACGAAAGCTAAAATTATGGTTTGGCATTTTGTTATAAAATTCAATATATGTGTGGAGATTTGATGAATAGAACCATAGAAGCAAGAGGTTTATTTGTTTTCTAAATAATTAAAATTTGAGAGTTATGTATGAAGTCCCTCCTCTTTTATTTATTTATTTTTGGGATGTCCTCTCTTATCAATTCTCTTATATATGATGGGAAACTTTCATTTATGCTCTTATTCTAAATTTAGAAATGGTGGCTGCTTTGCAGATTATTTTCTTACATTGAAATTGGTTGATGAAACGGAGCCAACTCCAGGCTTTTCTGTGAATATTTTTGAGGATAACCTTGAAAAGCTACCTAGAATCAAATTTCCTGGTGACATAATCAGCCTTCAATGCGTCGAGGTAGGCATTACAATATTTGTATTATACCTTACAACCTCGCCCTCATTTTACCTAAGATTATTGGGGGGCTTATTTTATTTCTTATTTTTCTCATGTAAAATTCTCAATAAACTATCGCATACTGTCAAGAAGTTCAATTCCAAATATTTTGGACAATTAGTTTAAGTTTGGCTAGAGAGTAATGACACTAGAAAGGTATTTGAGAAACGAATTTCATGAGGAGGTGATTGTGTTAATAACAGTGAAAATAAAAATAAATAAAATGATATAGGTATCATTCGAATGAAACTCATCGCTCACGGGAATCAAAACAATGAATACTTTCCCTCATTTCATTCTACCACACATGTGAAGGAAGCAAATGGATTGAGAAAGAGGGAGAAGAAAGGGGAAAGTGACGACACATGTAGGAATAATCGACGTTGGTTACGATACCATGCGAACCCTAACCAAAGCCCCGTATGGGTTTGAGTGGCTTCTAGGAGGCTGTTAGGTTCAGTCGAGTAGCTCGAAGGGGGAGTAGACGGATCGTGGGTGAGGCCGAAGACAACACACAAGCAACCGACCGACTTATGTGTGCTTGCCTTAATCCGATAAAGCAGATCGAGCAAACGAAGTTAAATCGAACATGTGAAGTGCGGGACTAAGGGAGCAGGAGGAGAAAGAGCAGGAGTCGAAGTTGGAGAAGTATTGGAGGAAAAGAAGGAAGAAGATATTGATTTGAGTGAAGGAGGAAGACGAAATATCAGTACATGAGCTCGTACACTTCCACGTTTATTGTCCTTCGATCTCGATTCTCTGACAGAAGCCATTTGTTGATTATGTGAGGCAAGGAGGAAGAAGAAGGTGATGGAAGTCTCTCCAGCGACCATTTTGGGGTCTAGGTCAGAATTGAGTATACTTGTTTCTGACGATAGGCAAAGATGAAGTCGACAAAGGAAAGATTAGGGTGGAGACGAGCAAAATGGCTTTTGAAGGGCTCGTTGTCGAAGCCGAAGGCATTGAATCATTGGAGAAGAAGGGTGGGCACTGCGCGGCTTTGTGTGGGTTAAAACAAAACCGTGGTATGGGTTTTATGAATTTTAATTTATCAATTTAATATATATGTTTAATTATTAATTATTACTAGCAAGATTTAATTAAATCAGGATTCAAGCTATAGAAGTTTCACCTTTGGATTGAGAAAAGGGTGTCGGCAACAAAGAAATGTTAGTTTGATTTATTTAAGTTTTATTAGTTTATTAAATTGAATTTTTATAAAAATGTTAATAAGAATTTTATGCAAATAAAAAAAAAAGAAAATAATAAAATAAAAACAAATTTAAATCTATGAGCTAATATTATATTTAATGAATTTAATGTGAATTACTACTAATAATAAATGATTATATAATATAAATGTATGTATATTTATATAAATCTTAAAGCCTAATTGAAAAGATATAAATTACATAAAATAACCAGAAAGTTAAATTAGGAGGACTAGTATATTTATTATCAAAATTTTATAAAATTTAAATTGTTTGAAAGAAATAGTTAAATTTATAGTATGAAATGAATATAATAATAATAATAATAATAATAATAATAATAATAATAATAATAAAATAATTCTTATTATATGATACATTAAAGTTTATATAAAGACAAATTTCCTTCTAATAATAAGATTAATATATATTAAATTAATAATAATTTTTTTTGCATTTGATTATAGGTTTTTATTAGAGATAAGTGAAGAAAATGATTGACAAGAGAATTATCAGTGATTGAAGTGAACACTCTTACTCTTAGATTTATGATAATATTTTGTTTTTTCTCAATCAATTGCATTAATAGTTATTGATACCTATAAATTCATATATCAGCTTATCCTGATTTTTATGCTCTTCTTTTTATTGATTATATCTGATTTTTATGTCTTTTTATAGTAAAAATTTTTGTATGCTATTTAAAGATACATATATTATATTGTATGACATATGATAAACATATGAATGATATATATATAAATATATATGTTTGAATGTTTGTGATTAACTATGGTCTAATTCATCTTTTTTTTGGTACTAATGGAAGAACGCTAAGGTACCCATACACAAATAAAAAAAAAAGATATTGATATTGATGCTCTTTATTTAGTACAAAGTTTTAAATGGTACTCATGTGACAATGTATGTATATATATATATACATATATATATATATTAAAAAGATATTGATATAATGTTTATATTACCTCAAATGATTATATTAGCTAGTACTGAACTTCAAATGCTCTTAAATTGACTTAAAATTTAATTGACATGTATATTATCTTTTTTTTTATTGTATTACTATAGTCTAAAATTATGAGCATTCACTGATTTTATTTAGTTAACTCATTGTTATTTTCGGACTCGACTGGTGAGCACCACAAAGTCCTGCATGTACTTCTTCGATAGTATCCTGTGCTTTTGCCTGACTCAAATACCACAGCGACATCTAATCGAACGATCGCCTGTAGAAGACATTGTCCACCATGGCGTATGACAAGGGTTTTTTTGTATCTCATGCGCTGTTGACTTATCGTCTACAGTTTTCCTGTTTACAAATAATCTATGAACGATTGACGCCAGTCCTCTGTAGACTCGGTAACCGCTATCAATGTTTCTTCCTTTCCCTCTCTATGGAAAGAATCCATGTCAATTTGGGATAGAGCCTGGAGTCCTTGGACTATTATATAGATGATGTCCTCTTGTGGGCATGCAAATTTTTTAGCAAGCTTGGCCAAAGCATCTCAAGAGTGTTCTCTCCTCGAGGAATTTTATAGAACATCACATTTGGCATCTGTTCTAGAAAGTTCATTGTGTAGTGGTGGTACTGTTCCAATTTGAGTTTCAGAATCTTGTACTGTCTGACTATCTGTTGAATTATGAGCTGTGAATTGTCATAGATGTCAATATCCATTATGTTCATTAATATTGCCAACCACAATCTTGTTATTAGTGCTTCGTATTCTACCGCGGTGTTTGTGCACGACTCTGTTAAATGGTAGGAAAACCTTAACATTCCCCAACCCGGTGTGATAAATATTAGTCCAATCCATGCTGGGCACTATTATCTGCAATCCTTTGTCTTTCCAATCCCATGTGTTTACCCAACTAACTCCTAAGCTTTGTCTTTCCAATCCCATGTGTTTACCCAACTAACTTCTAAGCTTCGATTTTATTTTATTTATTTATTTTTTTTTTTTTTGCATTAGAATGCCGCATGCTATATACTTAACCAAACCTATAGGTCTTCCAAGTTTCTTGATCGTTTTAAGAGGAAGTGGCTGCTCTCGACACATACTATTCCAAGAATTGTTTTAAATTTGTTTAGGGTTTGTCCTATACGAACCATTCTTTAAACATAACTCACTACTATCAAACCGACAACTTATTTTTTTATACTCCATAAAAAAAAAAAAGAAGACCAGCTATGTGACATGCAAGTACACAATAATAGTATGTCTTATATTCATCAATTGAAGCAAAATAAGGGATTAAACTTCACCCCGTATCCAGTTAAGGCGAGAAGGAAATGTATTCTAGCAATTGAGTGGTATGTATGTAGCGATTCCCTCAATGTCCAAACCGGCCCAGATAAGTCAGTTCACAAGGAGACTTGCTCATGTGAAATATTGCATGAATAATTTTCACCCTCGTCCACAAATAAAAAGTTTAGGACCCATAAATCTTTCTAACAGTAATATATATATATATATATATATATATATATATATA